CCAGAAAGCTTTGGGAATCTAAGCCAAGACCGCCGTGGGGAGGGGGGAGCTGGGAGAGGCGTGAGGGCTTCTGGGAGTTGTAGTTCAAAATAATAAAATAGCAAGAAATTGCGGGAAAAAATGGATAGTAAATATTATCAAATTAGTTGCATATCCTTAGATTAATATCATGAATTTTATTCTCTTGTTCAAGTCATCTGTTACAAGTCATGGTTTCAAACAACGAGTACTAATATTCAGAGGAACTACAAATCCCATAAAGCATTGCAAGTCGAGAGCCTTTGGAGGGGGAGGGGGGTCGGCCCCAGCGCAGGCGCAGTGGCCAGAGTTCAGAGTGAAGAAACATGGCTGCCCCGACGCTTAGTGCAAGACTTTACTCCCTGCTGTTCCGTAGGACGTCCACCTTCGCCCTCACCATCGCGGTGGGCGCCTTGTTCTTCGAGCGCGCCTTCGATCAAGGCGCGGATGCCGTCTACGAGCACATCAACCACGGGGTGAGGGCCTGGGCCATCCCTGACCTTGGGGCCGCCTGTGGGGTGACAATGGGAGTGGAAGGTGGGACGGGACTCTGTCTGTCTTTATCGGGAAGGGGTAAACCATGGGTGTCTTCTGTCTCGAGATTGCTGTCTGTCCTCTCGGTCTGGTGTGTGATTTCTAAAACGTTAAGCGAAGCCGACAGAGCTTACTTTTGCAGGGGATGTAAGTTATATAAGATAACTTACAAGATATTGCTATGTCTCACCCTACACTGTCCATTTGCTGAGGTGAAACCTCGTGCCTGATGAGAGCGAGGAACTTACTAGAGCCACACCACCAGGAAGTCAGTGGCAAGTCAGGGCTGGATCCCCGACCCTTGTCTCTGAGGATTCAAGGGCAGATTCAGCAGGTAACGGTCATAAAAACAACATTTCTCTGGACAGCCTGGCTGGCCTTTATAAATGGCGCTTCCGGTTTCCAAGGCTTCCCACGCAGGCAACTTATAGAATGTTAAGAGTTGAGGGCCATGAAGTCAACCCAAAGATGGGAATACTGGGCCTTGTCACTTAATAATTGTGGCATTAAGTTGGTTTCTTGTCCTCTCTTAGCTTTGGTTTTATCTGTAATATGGAGATAGTAACTATAACTATCTTAGGGAATTATTGTGCATATTATATGAGATACAGGCAAGGTGCCACAGTGCCTGGTAAATAGTACCAGTGAAAAATAAAATTTATTAAAATTCCTAGGAAGAAAATGGAAGCGTAAGATAGAGAATACTGACATCTTTCAAACTTATGTATCAGGCACTGTGCTGGGTGCTGTGCATATCATGAAGTTGAGACCACTACTGAGAAAGGTCTCATACAGATAACCCTGTTCTACCTTTCACATGTGTTTTTAACACATGTCTGTCTGTCTGTCTGTCTCTAGAGCCTGAGAAGTCTTTGTCCCCTAATTTTACACTGCCATGGCCCCAACGTCCTGCCTATATGAAAGTGTTGCCACTGGCCCCATTTTTTGTAGGTGGTTTTATTGGCCATTCCCGCTGATTTGGAAAGTCATTTAAATATGTTGTCATAGCCCACTATTTTTCTGTGCTTTTAAGAATGAGAATTCGGGGTCAGCAGATAGCGTAATGGCTATGTCACTGGACTCCCATGTAGTCTACCGTGGTTCGAACCTGGTGGCTTAAACTCATGCCGGGCGCGTGTGCGCTCCGTGCCCAAGATCCCGAGAGGAGAATGGAGAAGGGATTGTGGCGTGGCCATCCCCCCTGGGGGGGTGATTTCTCTGTCTTTCTGGCAAGCGCACGCGCTCTGTAGCAAAAACCTCTCCAAAAAAAGGAAAAAAAAAAAAAGAATGAGAATTCAATGGGCCAAGTGGTGGCACAGTGGTAACACAACGGGCCCACATGGGAAGAGTCCTGGGTTTGTGTCCCAGGACCTCCCAGACCTCCTCGAGCACAAAAGGTGTACATTCCTGTGCCTGTGGTCCAGGCCCACAGAGACTGGGGGTGGATTGTGTGGGGACCTTGTTGGGGGTCCCTGTCTCTTTTTTTTTTCTTTTTCTCTCCTTCATGGGAGAAGTAAAAGCAAACTTAAGAAAAAAAAAAAAAAGAATGCCTTTAAAATGAAAGCAATGAGAATTCCAATCAGTTAAAGTTAGAGGAAATTTTAAAATGGCTCAAGGGGATTAGGAGGGCTGAACAGTGGTACAGTGCTCTGTGAGACTGAACCACATAGAAAGGTTCTGGATTCATATCTCAAGACTTCCCTGAGTACACCTGGGTACACCCTGGTACGCATGTGTACCCATGATCTGAGGCTGCTTAAAGGAGTGGATAGCCTCAAGACCCTGTTACGGGTACTGTCTCTCTTTTTGTCCCTCTCTATCTCTCTAGCTCATAGAAGAAATAAATAAACTTAAAAAAAAAAAAAAGAAAAAATTGCTGTGACTCTGCACTTAGGACCTCTTGCGTAATATTTGGGAGTTGAAAACCTTCCAGACTCTGCTCCTTAATAACTGTACTTTAGGGTAGTTTCCTCAATCTCAGTTTCCTTTTCCACTTCCTTCACTTGGTGATTTGAGAGCATCAAAGTATTTTATGACTGTTAGAAATCGTACATCAAGCCTAGTGTTGCTTCCAGTTTTTCTATCACAAGTGTACTTTTCTTTTTTGCTATAGGGTGCATGCGCTTGCTTAAGAGAGAGAAAGTGAGAAAGCACCTCCTCTGGGCGGGTAGGGGTGGTGGCCATGCTATAATCCTTCCTTCCATTCTCCTTTTGGGATTTCGGGCACACGTGTACATGTGCCCAACATGTTTTTCAGGTTGCTGGGTCTGAGACTTGAACTGTGCGATCAGCTGTGTGAGCCAGCCAGCTGTCTTAACCACCATGCCACCAGCTGGCTCCCACATGTATACATTTTTAATCAGGACCTGATACATATTTGTTTAAGAGACCCGGGCAGTAGGGGTAATTGCAAAATGTGAGAGATAAAAGTTAAAGTTTGTGGCTCTTGTTTTTAAAATGCAGAAGCTGTGGAAACACATCAAGCACAAGTATGAGGACAAGGAGTAGTTCCTGGGAGGCGCCCATTCAGGCCAGAAGGACCAGGTCCACCCACTAGCTGTTTGCCCAGAGCCGGGGCCTCAGCTTGAAGATGGTGTTGAAGTTAGCCTTCATGGACTAGCTGTGGCTGTTGGCAAGAAATGACTTCACCTGACAAACAGACTCTTTACCTTCTACCGTGTTTGAAGTATCTTTAGTCACGGTCATCAGCAAATAAATGTAAATTGTACCTGATAGAACTGTTTCTGCATTCGGTCCTTTGTGTGTGTGTGTGTGTTTAATTTCCAAGAGGTAGGTACAGTCACAGCAGACAGAGGGGGCAGGGGAGAAAGCACCCCACTTGGGGTATGGTCACACTGCAATCCCTTTTCCAGCTCTCCTCCCTTTAGGATTCTGGGCATGCACGTATCTGTGCCTGATGTGTTTCTCAAGCCACTGGGTCCAGGACTCAAACCGCATGGTAGGCCATGGTTAGATCCGGTCACCTTAATTACCATGCCATGGATTGGGTCAAGGTGCTTTGTTAAATCTATCTGATCTTCACTTGTCAGTTATCTAAGACCGCTTCAAATCCCTCTGCAAACACCCAAAGCTCAAGGTTCTCTTATTTTGAGTTTTCCATTAACTTCCAAAGAATTCTGGTATTCAAAATATGAACAAGAGTTGGAGATGTTACGTTCAGACTCTTGGCTTTTATTTATTTATTTACGTTTTTTTCACAGTGTGTATGCACTCACCAGAGACAGAGAGGGAAAGTAAGAAATCACTCCCCAGGTGGATGGCCACACAGTCCCTTTTCCATTCTCTCAGGATTTGGGGCATGCACACATATGCACTCAGTGATTTTCAAATCTTTGGGTCTGGGACTTGAGCCACGGTTGGCTACCACATGGGAGTCCAGCATCTTAACCACTGTGCCACCTGTTGGCCCCCAAACTTGGATTTCTAAACTGATAATTCCATTCCTTCCTTTTTTTCTTTCTTTCTTTCTTTCTTTTTTTTTTTTTTTTTTAAGTGTATTTATTTATTCTAAGAGCTAGAGACAGGGAGAGAAATTGTACATCTAACGGTCCTGGTGCCACAGCCCATCCCCAGCCCTACCTCGCCCCAGACCATACACATATACATGGCATGCGCGGGGACACTGATGCAAGGTAGGATCCAGCTAGCTTAACCACAGGCTACAGAGCCAGCCTGAGTGTTACATTGCATCACTGTGCCACTGTCCAGCGCCCTGATAATTCATTCTTAAATCACAGGCAGGAGAGCACCATGGCCTCCGATAGGGAAACATCCTGGCCCGGGAGTCTTGAGCTACTCCCCAACACAGGTCTAGTCTCCATTCTGCCTTCAGCTTGCTGGGGATCTTTCAGTTAGCTGCTATCCCTCTCTGGGCCACAACCTTCCAGATTTCCATTCTGATCAGTTTGGTTCATCAGGGTGTTTACTTGGTGGGTTTGAATCCTCCTACCAGTTCTAGCCATGTGGGCCAAGGATGAGGCGCTTGACTTTCCTGAATGTCACTGTCCTCATCTATAGAGTGGAGATAGAAGTACCCACTGCAGAGGGTTTTTGTGAGTATCGAAGGAGGTCCTGTGCAGGTGGCTCAGTCACATGCTGTCACATGGAGGAAACTCTTGGCTGAGAGACAAAGATGCTAAGCACCCAGAAAAACAGAAAGTTCTGCTGAAGAGTAGGAATGTGAAAAAGAACAGTTGGAATAGTCTGATTATTCTTTCAACAAACATTTGGGTGGCCACTGTGTGAGGCCCTATGCTAACAGGGTGCACAGTGATGGTAAGGTGGCACATGGGGCTTGAGCTCCTAAGGGAGAGACACCAAATGCCATCTTAGACATTACAGACCAGGCCCAGGGTCCTGGGGAACCGTGCAAGGAGGGGATAACTAGGAGCTACAGCGTGAGCAAGGGAAGCCTCGGAAGTACTGAGACCCAGTGAGCCGCTCGTGTCGGGCGTTGTAGGCAAAGCCCCCAGGGGGAAAGTACTCGCTATGTTTGAAGAACTAAATGAGGTCAACTCCATGGTTTGACTCCTGGTCATGTCTGATTGAAAAACATGCTGGAGTCATGTCCCTGCGTGTCCCAAATCCTGAAATGGGAGAGAAGGAGAAGGGATTGCAGCATGACCATTCCTCGGGGGGAGTGCTTTCTCACATTCCCTCTTTCGGTCTCCAGTGACACATGCACCCTACAGCAAATCAAAAACAAGAAAAAAAGGGGGGAGGGGGCACCAGCAGGTGGCATGGCAATTAAAGCGCTGAATCCTACATGGCCAACTCCACGGATCAAGTCCAGGATCTGGCGTCTTGAACATGCAAGGCATATAGTGTGCATGCCCAAAATCCTAAGAGGAGAATGGAGAAGGGATTATAGCATGGCCATCCTCCCTGGGGGCTGATTTATCATTTTCTCTCTATCTCTCCAGTGAACCCACCTACCCTGTGAGAATAAAACAATTAAAAAAAAAAAAGGTTTTGGAGGTACTTTGGCAATATCTATTTTAAGTGTTTGTTCCTTTTTTTCTTTTTTTCCATAGGGTGTGTGCGCTCTCTGGAAAGAGATAGAAAGAGGAGGAAAGTGAGAAATCGCGACCCCAGGGGAATGGCTACACCACAATGCCGTCTCTATTATCCTCTTCGGATTTTGGGCATGGACGCACACCTGCCCTGCGTGATTTTCAAGCTGCTGGGTCCAGGGCTCAAACCATAGTCAGCCATGTTGGAGTTGAGTGCCTTAACCACCATGCCACCTGCCAGCCCCACATGTCTATTCCTTTTCACTTTTAATTTTCACTTCTAGAAAATTATCCCCAGAATCACATGTACACCTACACACACACAGACATTGGAATGTTTAAAATTAAAAGAAGAAAAAAAATCCTTCAATAGCAAAGTGGCTAATGAAAAAAGTCGATCCATATAGCAATCTATGCAGAGGGGCCAGCAGGTAGTATAGTGGTTAAGGCCTTGGACTCCCACATTGTCGACTATGGTTTGAGTCCTGGACCCACGGGCTTGAAACTCATGTTGGGAGTGTGTGAGTGGGTAGCCAGAATCCTGAAGAGATGGAGAAGGGATTGCAGCATGGCCATAGCCCCTAGGGGGTGATTTCTCGCTTCCTGTCTCTGTCAGTCTCTCTGTCTCTCTGGTAAGTACACATGCCCTATAGCAAAAATCTCTCTCTAAAAAGAAAAAGAGAGAGAGAAAGAAAGCAAATCTATGCAGAAATTAAAAAGACTGGGGCCGGCAGATGGCATGGTGGCTAAAGGCATTGGATTCTCACATGGCTGACTGCAGTTCAAGTCCTGGATCTGGTGGTTTGCTTTTTCCCTTTCTCTTTTCTCTCTCTCTCTGTTTCTCTGGTCAAATTAAAAAATAATAATTGCAACAAATGGAATTAAATAAATAAATTAATCTTTTTTAAAAAAAGCGATCAGGTCAGCAGGTGACATGGAGGTTAAAGCACTGGATCCAATATGGCTGTCTGTGCAGTTTGAGTCCTGGACCCAGAAGCATGAACATCACTCTGAGCGCATATGCAATCATGGCCAAATCCCGAGAGGAGGCCAGAGCAGAAGGGATTGTGGCATGGCCATCGCCCCTTGGGGGTGATTTCTCACTTTTTCTCTCTTTCTGATGAGTGCACTCACCTTATGACCAAAAAACCCCCTAAAATAATAATAATAACAACAATAAGGCAATTAAGTAAAAAAAAAAATGGTTAAAACAAATGCTCACACATGAAAAAGCTAAGTGAACAAAGCTGGTCATAAAATCATACAGTGCATGATACATTTTTCAGAAACACATGTAAGAAAAGAATTGGAAATGTTCACATCAGATTGTTAGCCGTGGCCAGCTCTGGGTGAGTCATGTCCTGTTCTGTTGTATTTTTCTCTGATTTTTAAGTTTCTGCATCAAGTAGGTATTCTTTTCCTAAGGCGGGGGCAGGGGTGGGGATGAGTAAATTAAGAACGAGACTGACCAGAAAGAGCGAGTAAGCGAGTAAGCTGAGAGTGCCGTGAAATGCGAGCCTAGCCCCGGCTGCAGGCCTGGAACCCAGCTGCCTAGTGGCCCGGGGCCCCCCTTCCTGAGACTTCGGTGAGGACAGGTCCCTGGGTGGCGCTGCCAAATGAGAGCTGAGTCTCCCCAGAGCTCCCTGGACAATCTGCCCTGCAGGTGGGAAAAGAGCGGATTATCGCCTTTCTCAGACTGGCACCAAGGAGCTACTTACTGCTGGGAAA